AGAAGAAGAAGAAGAAGAAGAAGAAGAAGAAGAAGAAGAAGAAGAAGAAGAAGGAGGAGGAGGAGGAGGAGGAGGAGGAGAAAGCTCCAAGCGCAGATAACAGTTGAAGTGGCATATCATGGGAAAAAAAGCGCAAAATACGTTTAATAGTTTCCAGCGGCTCTAGTGCGATGATAGTTATTGTATGCAATGAGAATATTATGTACGATAACTACAAGAAGTGGTCATATTCAGCTAATGGGTATATAATTTTTCTATACACAATACAGGCATCTATCTACAAAGCACACAGACAACACAGCATAATTATTTGTGGAAATTTACGCTATTCACCCTCTCTTTTTCGCCTCCTTGGTCTAAAAGCCTCCCCTCGGTATTTCTGAAAGAATGAAAGATTACATTTTCGAATCCTATGAATGGTGTTCTGATAAAAATAAATCGTAAAATAAAATCGTCACTCAACTCGCTAATTGATGCGCCCTGCGTTGTCATTTAACCTTGCAACATGTTGGACAAGGGTTGTGAACACATTTGCATGGTTGTCCCAAGTGACTGCTTGACTATCCGAAATCTGCTAAAGCCATTTATTCGAGTACCGATACCCATCGGTATGTGCGGGGAAAAATACTGATAGGAGAAAATGGTGCAATCTCAATGACCAACAAAGAACATTATTTTCAGTCAGAGTTATCGGTGCGCATTCTCATATATTAGTCTCTTCGTTTTCATTCACTCGTATTTATTTAGTCGTGATGAACTTCAAAATTAGCGTCACAAACTTGAACACCACGTACTTACCAAGTCAAGGATGCTATAGCAAGAACAAAATGCAAAGAGAGAAACAGTGTTGTTGGGTTTTTTTTTAATATAAATTGATATGATTCATGATTATGGTGTGGTGTCTGTGGAGTAAAACTGGGGAATTGTGAATGAGTATAAAATCGCATGAAGCAGACAATTATATGTAAGCAAATATACACATTAATGTAAAAAAAAGCTGGCAAAGTAATAAGCGTTGTTCGCTGTGTTAACATGCATGTCATTAAACGTATGAGGAAGCATTATAATCATTTCCGTTTTTAGTGTGGGGCTTTAAAACTAATGCTGTTTTGAATTTTTTTTTTAAGACCGTAAACTTTTGTCAATAATTATTTTGCAAAGCCTCAGTCAGAGGGTAAACTGTAGGCCCTATTGAGGCCTAATTCGTTCTGGCAATATAATTAAGCAGCAAAATATAGTGTGCAATATAATACATGATATGGTGACAATAAAAACGTGACTGCTCACAGAAGAGAAAAACAATAAGCTCGCCGATGGAGACTGGGGTAGTTTATGAAAAAAAAAACAGTATTTTTTAAAGTTTTGTTTCAATCCCCAAACTACACTGAGTGGAAATGAATTAGGCAACAATGTTTGGGCTATTACACATGAGGCAAAATTAGTAGACTTTAAAATGTTGCAGTTATCTCTACTAGTGCATCTGATATTCAGTTGTCAAAAAAACAATTTAGCATTGTGAACAAGAAAAACGACAATGGTCTCTAAAATAACATGGTTATGTGAGGAACTGTTTCCGGTTGCAGACTAAATGTAAGCGACGCTGAATAAGCTTTCTATTCTAGAACCAAAGGTTTATAGAATAATGACATAATGAACAATCTCAAAACAGTGAAGAATTCGATTACACCCCTGTTACAGTTTAGCCTCTACAATAGAAAACACATAAAGCAAGTGTTCTCACCAAAGTCATGTTGAGTTTCATATGATAATATAGCCTATGATTTTCTAAAATACAAGAAGAGCTTTATGAATTGGATGTCTTTTTAGGAAAAACAAAATTACGCAGTTTGTTTTCCGTAGCTCTTGAAAGAACCATGAAACACATCAACATTTTATAGTCTCTCAAAATACATTTAATGTTGTTAACATAGTTGATGGCTCGAGTTTACGTGAAAGAAGAATGTTTTTTTTACGAAGGGGTTCTGATGGTAGTGCTTGTTTCGGCTTGATGAGCAAAACAGAGACCGAAAAGAATTCTTCACACATGTGTTGTTAAGAACTAGAGAGTAGAATTCGGACTCCTCTACCTGTGTAGTGTCTGTAAAAGTTGTTGAAGTTGGCGACGATCACAGGCACCGGTAGAGCGATGGCCAGGACTCCAGACAGCACACAAAAACCGCCAAGCATCTTCCCAAAAACCCCAACCGGCACATAATCGCCGTAACCTACTGTTGTCATGGTGACAATGGCCCACCAGAAGGCGTCAGGGATGGAGGTGAACATGCTTCCAGATTCTCCCATCTCAGCGTAGAAAATGGCTCCTGAAAAGATGACGGTGGCGATACCCAGAAAGAGGATGAACATGCTCAGTTCTCGGATACTAGTCTTCATCGTTTTGCCCAAGATCTTGAGACCCTCTGAGTGTTTGCTCAGTTTAAGAATTCGCACCACGCGAATTACTCTTAGTACACTCAGCACTGAGCTTTTGCTGCTGACATTGCATGTGCCAGACGCCAAATTAATGCCTGCAGACAAAGTCAAAGACATACATTATGTTTTTAAAATAATATAATTGGTGTATGGCCACACTGTTACTCCAGGTGGTTAAACACTCGACAACAATGTGGTTAGGACGGGGGAGGGGAGGGAGGTAAGGAGTCCAATCTATTGTAATGAATGATTGATAGGTTAGTTACGGTGATGTAAAAAAAACACCCAATGAACGAAACAATATCAACCTTTTCGAAGGGGCAGAAGTCATAATTCAATCAGAGTTGTCAGGGAAAAGCCCGTATTAAAGAACAAGTAAAATGTTAACTCTATTCGAATGAAAAGCTGAATCCCTCAGGTTTTAGTTGAGCTCCTAAAGCAGCTTCACCACAACGATCAGCACACAAGCCCACCTGTGCGGTCGTTTCTAAAACCTGAGTCTGGTTTATTTGAGGGAGTTTTTAAATATCTTCATTATTATATGGACTTATATCTGGGAGCCCTTTTGGAAAAAAAAAAACTCCGTTATGCTGACAGGGTATCAAGCGCAAATTCAAGCACCACAAGCGAGGTTTACAAGATTTGTTCTGCTCTTAAATCTAAATATAATATCTATCTATCTATCTATCTATCTATCTATCTATCT